AGTCCCAAGGGTTTTTACTGATTCTAAGTGTTAAACACAGATCTCATCTTGTCTCGAGACTCACTTTCCTTTCTCCGAAAGAGAGAGAGAGAGAGGCAGAGAGATAGATGGAGAGAGTTCGTTAAGGGTTTTTCGATTAGGGTTTCGATTTGTTCTCACTATCTGCTTCTGTCATAGTGTTTCGATTTGGTAAACTATATATTTCTGCATCAATGGGTCTCGATTAGGGTTTCAGAGATGTAATGGTTAGTTTGGTTTCTCTCTGGGTAATGGTTATTTTGGATGCTAAAGCTGCTTGAGCTAATCTGATTGCTTTACCNGGGTTTCGATTTGTTCTCACTATCTGCTTCTGTCATAGTGTTTCGATTTGGTAAACTATATATTTCTGCATCAATGGGTCTCGATTAGGGTTTCAGAGATGTAATGGTTAGTTTGGTTTCTCTCTGGGTAATGGTTATTTTGGATGCTAAAGCTGCTTGAGCTAATCTGATTGCTTTACCTTCTAGAAAGAGGAGTTTTGTTTTTGCAGGTTAGGGCATGAAGAAGATCGTTTGACCTCCTCATCACCAAGACATGTAAACTCACTTGCCCTTTCTTTTATCTGTTCTCTCTTTCTTTTCATCTGATTCCGGTTTTGTTTTTCTATTCTTAGTTATAAAGGCAAAAGAGGCTGAAGAAGCTTGCTGGTGGTGGTATTGGCGTCAACTATGGTGGTCTCGGCGTCAACAGTGGTCGTGCGGTGGAGATACGAGCATCATGGCCGTTTAAAAGGATTTGTAGTGCTGTGAAAATCCGGTGGCTGTATTAGGTTTAGTTAGGGTTATTAGTTAACCAATATGTAGTGTTGGTTTCTCTGATTGTGTATTAGGTTTGGTTTGGTTTAGGTAGGCTTAATTAATAAATCGGGTTTGTGTGTAAACCAATATTAATAAATAAACCAATATTGATTATATTTTTTTTGTTTTTTTGAATATTTTGATTTTGTTATAAACTTATAATATTAATTTGAATGAAATTTTATTTTACAATTTTTTGTATTATTTTCAAAATAAAATATTAAATAAATTTGTCATAAACTAAATGAAACAATTACATTTAAAAATGTAATGAAAAATTCAAATATTGCTATGGATAGAACACTACAATAGTAGTTAAAACATGCTATAGTAAAATTTAAAAACTGCTATAGTAAAAATGTTATAATAACATTTTAGGCACTCTATTAAAAAAAAATTACAATTGCATAAACGAAAACGCTATTACTAAAATAATATCAATAGCGGATAAAAAAACCGCTATCTAATGGACCAGACCTATTATCACGAGCGATATTGGAGCGCTTTCTACAACGCTATGGTATCGTATGATAGCGCTTTACGGGTGCTATTAAAACTCTTATTTCTTGTAGTGGATCTTGAACTCGTTTGCTTTACTTATTTCTTTACTGTTTCTCTTGCTATTACTATCTTTAAAGCATTATTCAAACCATTATGACTTTGTCTCTCATAAATATGTTTGAGTAGTCTCTCTTGTTAGATTTAGGTTTCTCATTAAGGTTGACTCATGCATTGAATGAATCATTACTAGGGTGTTTAAAATATAGTTCTTCATCTAGTCATCATAAATGCTAATGATAAGGATTAATCACCCTTATCTTTGATTTTAGGATCAATATGGACAAGTGAGAACTTGACAATTACCTGAAATCTAAGTAAACTTAGTGAAGACTAGAGAACCGTTCCAAACTTATTGTTATAACTCGCTGGAAGCAATATCGCTCGACGAGATAATCATCTTGTCGATCGATATGGCGAAGATTCATCGATCGATGATTCGACTTAATATCGATCGATACCTTCTCATAGTCATCGAACGATAGTTGTTGACCCGAGGCCAGTGTGAGTTAATCCTTTAGATTTAAAATCTTAAACGTTTAAATCCTGAACTATGAACAATAAAAACTCTTTATAACTTGCATGTTAAGTCTACCTGAGAAAATACCTAAGTCTAACTACTTTCTTTCTTCTTAGCAAATCAATCGAGCAATTACTTGCTCACCTTTTAAGTTACTGTTTAAAATCTGCTGTCTAGATTTATTTCGAAAACTAAACAATCTGTTGTGTAATCCTAGAGTCTCTGTGGATTTGATCCCTAAGTACCACAATTGAACCTCTTTTGATGAGAGTGATTCACTTCTTAGGGTAATTTGAGTGATATCTGTTGGCAAGCTGAACTAAACCATTTATGCCCCTTGACTCTATTGTACTATGAACCGTGATTGCAACGTCTCTCGTTTCGTCTCGATCCACCTTACTGTATGAGTTTTACGATAACAACCGTAAAAGACGTGTTTTCTCGTAAAACCTCGAGTAAATCATATAAAACGGCAACGTAAAATGGAACACCGAACATTTCCAAATTATACGATTAACTAGAGATTTTTTTTATAAAAAAACCGTAAAAGACATGTTTTCTCGTAAAACCTTGAGTAAATCGTATAAAATGGCAACGGTTAAACAAAACACCGAAGATTGCCAAACTATACGATTAACTCGAGATGTTTTATAAAAAAAACCGCTAAAGCTTGTTTTCTCTGAAAACCTCGAGGAAATCTTATAAAACGGCAACGTATAAACAAAACACCGAACATTGCAAAACTATACGATTAAATCGAGACGTTTTATAAAAAACGGCATCGTATTAGGAAACGATCTCATCTAAAGTCGTAAAACAGCTGAATCGCAAAACGGTTCGGAAAGTCCTAAAACGCGACAAAAGCCCACTCGCGACTTTAGACAAGATCCAGCGCGAAGATAGGATGACGGTTTACTCATTACTCGCAGGAATGGGTAAATGTCAAGTTTGAAGACGAAATAGAAGTTTTCCGAAGAAAAATGGAAAGATCGAGAAAAATGGAAGATTTCCGACAAACGCGAATCGGAGCGGAAAATGAAAGACCAACCGCCTAGAGAAGGAGTATATAAGCAGAAGGTCGAGGACAAAAACAAAGGACGATATTGAGAGCTCCCATCTGAGAACTTTTACAACTTTTCTAGACTTAGAATTCTCTGCATTTAGAAACTTAGGCTTTATTCTCGACAAGTTTGGTTTCTTTGACTGGCTCTCAATTACTAGACGAACTCGTCCAGGCAGTTTGATCTCTTGTTCAGATCTATCAATTGATCTACGTTCGGCTTGATCCTCGAAAGGGGTACGTAGGCAGCCTTTCATAAGGTTCAGTCTGAAATCAATCAAAACTTTTTTTCTTATCTTTTTTGTCTTTTGTTATCGAGCTGCGACTCAACTAGGTTTAGGGTTTTATGTTGCTAGAACTAGGTAACTTGCTGACGGCCCCTGCGGCCAAAGCCTTTATAACCTCTTGTAATGATTGCAACTACACATATCTTCTTTACAACGTATTTACAACAAAATTAGTTAGGTTAAGCGCACTAAATACACGTATATTTTTTAATGTAATAGTTAAATGGTTCGCCGTAAAAACCTTGTAATGCTACTTCGGCTTTGTGACAAAACTTCTAATTCCTAGTATTTACGTCGTAAATTGATGTAAATTACGACAAAAAAAATTCCTTAATTTTATTAGAACTTTACGACGAATATGAAATTAATCCTAAAATACTAGTAAAAAAACTTGTAGAATTATGAAAAAAAAATTTCCTCGTAATTCTTCCTTGGTAAAGATGTGTTTTCTTATAGTGTTAATACATTTTAACATTAAAGTAACGTCGTTTTCTAGAATTAAGGATCCCTAATATAACTTAATCCCCTTTCCAAATCCCTAAATTATCTTATTCTCCAAATTCTCTATTCAAGATAGTCTATTTATCTACCCTCTCTATCTAAGACAATGATTGTCCACAAGACTAGCATAAATGTAAGTGCTGTATGATTAAAAAAAAATATATAATTTGATTAACGAAGAACATCAAATTAAAACAGAATAAGTCATGAAATCACAACCATGAAATGCAAAACTCAGTAAAAAAATATGAAATGTGAAAAAATACAATTAATTAGCAAAAGCCGAAATGTAAGTTATAGAAAGCACGATAATGGCAAAGAGAGTCAGTGCTGAAACTGAGAGCTGGTTGGTGCCAGAACTTGAGGGAGACGGTGCCGTCATTCCAGGCAACTCTGGTGAAGATGTCGGTGACTCTTTTGAAGATGGCGATGTTGGTGACTCGTCTGAAGATGGCGATGTTGATGACTCGTCTGAAGATGGCGATGTTGGTGACTTGTCTGAAGATGGCGAGGTTGGTGACTCGTCTGAAGATGGTGAAGTCATAGGTGTTCCAGCTGATGGAGAAACTGCATCCATATAATCATTCATACATTATATTTGTTAACATATAATATGATATACACAACACAAAAATCTGAAAGTGGACCTTACTTTTTTCACACAAAAATAATCAATCTAGCTATAAATGTAAGCCTAAACTAATTTATGCAAATGCAATGTAAGTAAAAAAAAAAAAAAAAAAAATCTAGCCTATTACATTGCATTTGCAATTGCTGGAAAAAAATCTAACTACTAAACTAGCTAAACGATTCGCACATAATGTTCTAGCCTAATATGTAAATTGCCTTTTCAAGTCTTTTCAGTTCTGTTTTTTTTTTCCCAAAATTCAGTTTTTGTTACGAGTATAATAGAAGAAAATATATCCCTTATTATAACATATCAAAAGGGTTGCCTACTTTTTAGTTTTTTTTTGACAACATGCCTACTTTTTAGTTATTGCAAATGCAAACGAATATTTTACTACTATAATTTTAGTGACCCTCAATGAAACATGAAATATATATGATATACCAGAAAATCTTGTAAACTTACTAAAATAGAACTGTAACCAATATATTTTTAATCAATCTCTAAGGAAACTAAAAGAATAAGAAAACACAGAAAATTCAATCTCAAGTATGAAACACAATAATTTAATTATCTAAGAGAAAAATATAATGAATAAAATGAAAACTACTCAATGCGTACTCGGAGGCATACCAGGAGTAGATGCAGCCGGTGCTGACGCGCCCGGTATAGCTACACCAGCAAGAAAACAATTACTGATCATAACAATAATAATAATAAGCAAAAGTTAGGAATGAGACACACAAAAAAACTCACCACAATGGGGAGCAGCAACGGGGAGCTTGCAAGTCTTAGGCATGGAATGGGCTCTAGTGTTATTAATTGCAATCCCCATATCTTTGCTACTCGCTAAGCCGACGCAAAGACAGTTAGGATTATACTGTAAAACAGATAGGATTCCCCCACAACACACTTTCGAGGGATTAGTATCATTTGATCCGGGGGTGATGTACGATAGACAATCCATCATATCATATATTACGCTCGAGCAATCAGAATTTGACGGTCCTGGCGCCGGAGTTGCTACCGGTGAGGGAGACATTGCGGGATGTGATTTTTTACGGGCGTGGATAGGTGCAAATGAAGGGGATAGTAGTACCAAGAAAGAAAGAAGTAGATATTGCTTCATCATTGACATATTGTTTCTTTGAAAGTGCTTTTGTTTCACTATTATTTCTTGTTAGATTTATTTTATGATAAGAGAAGAGGGGGGGTTTATATAGAAAGTAAACTCGGAAAAGAAAAGGATAGGAATATTTATGAGTCTGTTTTTCTTGTTGTTTTTAGGGTTTGAATCCGGTTCCCGTTCCTAAAAATTTGGGAAATTTGAAATTATTGTTGAATAGGTGAGTCGTTTATTTGTTTTTTGAGAACGCAAAAAAAAAAAAATATTTCGATAGGATTTGATTCCCCCCCCCCCCTAATTTAAGTTAACAAGATTTGGAATTCAAAATAAAAACTAATTTGAAATTTTATAATTGAGATGAGAACTTTATTATATACTTATAAAAATTTAATTCTATCTTAAAATTTTAAATAGATGTTTTTTTGACAAAAAAAATTAAATAGATGTCGAACCATATTTTAGATGTCATTTGTTGCCAAAAAAAAAGATGTCAATTATATGAGGCGTTTGAGCTTCTAAACTGTAACTTTTAATTCCAGCTACAAATATCTATATCTATTTACAGGTTTACTAATTGTTTTGATTTGAAATTAGTATCAATCTTAAGTGTGTCAGGTGTGGTATATCCGGCGGCGAGTGTTGCTCCTTTTTTTTTTTATCAATTCTGGTTAACTTTATTAACATTTGTGTGTGTTATGAATATTAAAATTGGATATAAATACATCATTTTATTGTTTAGCTATTTTCCATAAGTTTAAACCAAAAGTATTTGAATTAGTATAATTAGTTTTTTTTAAAAAAAAATTTACAATTCACTATCTTATATAATAAAGTAAAAGTTTTTTCTCCGCATAACGGCAAAATATGACATTTGTCATTCTATCATTGGAATAATTTTATTAACACTATCTTAAATTTTTCATAAATATTTTTTTTATATTGACTAAGAGGTTCATATTAACTCTGCGAACCAACCCGGTAACTTTGTATCCATGTGAACAACGAAAGACGATTGTCCTCTGGCACTGCGTGCTAGACTATCCGCCCGTGAATTCAGTGTTCTTGATATATAGATGATTTCCGAGCTATGAAAATTCCCTTTAAGCGTCTTGATATCTTACAGATAATTTGCAAAGGCTAGCCATTCGTCTTGTTCCGACACCATCTTCACCAATTGAGAACAATTTGTTGCAAAAGTAACATGATATTGACGCAAATTCCTCATATTCTCCATTGCCCAAATAAGCGTTTCCACCTCATAATGAAGATGTGATAGGCTAGCTCTAACATTTCTTGCTCCCATTAAACCCACAAAACCTTCGAGTGTACTATACCAACCATGGCCATCAAATACATCCTTATCTTTCCATGAACCATCAATAAAACACCAACGCCCTGCTATGAGCGGTATGGTCGCAACTACCCCTGACTGTGTTTCACTCCGAGATGCTCTCATTTGGGCCTACTCCCAGAGAATTGATTCTGTCTCCGCCAATGTAAGTGTGTCCTTCGGATCAATGTTCAAATTACTAAAAGTTTTGCTATTTAGCCCTTTCCAAATATACCACAATATCCATGCAAAGTGATGATCATCCATCTTAGGAATAAACCGCAAAATAAATGGTCCATATTCGTAAACAGAGACACCGTAGGAAAAGTTACCGGGTTCAAAATGATCTTTGATAATGCCCAAACTTGACGTGTTGGTGGACATTCAAAGAAAACATGGTTAGCCGATTCTTCTGCAGCTCCGCATCTGTCACACCATATATTACCGTTTATCCCTCATGCCTGCAGATTTTTCTTTACAGCAATACACCCCGATGGCAATTTCCATAGAAATGTTTTATCTTAGGGGGACACCGTACCTTCTAGTAGAATGCTTTTAAAGCATCCACTGTAGGTCCCTGAATCTCAATCGGCCTTCCTCTATCTGGGTACACCCTCTCAACTTGATATCCTGACTTAACTGTGTATATTCCGTTCTTGGTGAAATGCCATTCATCCCTATCTTCCATATGTGTCCTACCAAGTGGAATGCTTTTTATTATTTCGCATCCTGTGGGTCTACTAGAGCCCTAAATAACCTGCATATTCCAAGTCCTCGTATCTATATTGATGAGAGAATCCACTGTGAGTTCCGGAGAAAAATTATGTTGATTTTTTGTTGCTGAGAGCCCTAATAATCTGCATATTCCAAGACCAGAAATTTTTCATAAATATATTTATAATAAATCATGTATTTAACACAAATTAGTTATAATTATTATAATCATAAGAAAATGTTCATAGACAATTTTCATTAAATAACAAAATTAAGAAATTTAGTTATACTGATATATTTATATTGTTAATATTTTAAAATTAGGAAAATAGATAAAATAAATAATGAATATCAGATCTTCTTCATATATATTACCTTATTTGAATATCTAATTGTAATATTTTTGATATTTAAATATATAAAAAGTGTTTATATAACTATAATGTTATCAATAATCTTTTAACATTTACGTGTGTGAAGAAATTGAAAAATACACAAACTTATATCATAAACTAAAAGATACAACACATTTTTAAAAATAAAATATAATTAATAAATTTGATTGTGCTAATATATTTATAATATATAAATAAAAAATCAATCATATAAATTAGAGATCAACGACAGTAGTTTGTTCGACTTTCTCAAAGCCAAATCACCACGACAACATGTTCAAGTTTCAGTTTTTTAAAATAACTATAAAATGTTATTAATAATCAAAACCAAAAACAAATGCAAACAACAATATGTTCAAGTTTCAATTTCTCTTAAATAACTATAAAATGTTATTAATAATATTTTAAGATTTATATGTGTTAAGAAATTAAAAAGTACACAAACTTACATCATAAACTAAATGCCTAATTCAACTTGTCACAAGTAAACAACTACAACGTTAATTATAAACCAACTTTTAACAGTTAAATTAGCATATTAACGATTACATTTTCTAAAATAAATTATTAATATAAAAATTAAAAAAGATACATTCTGTGCATAGCACAAGTCGATCACTAGTATTAAATAAACCTTCGTCGCAAAATGACTTTTGTTTTAAAATAATTTTCTTTCAAAACGATACATTTTTTATACATTTCAAAATATTTTTATTAGGTAATAATAATAAACTATAATTTTAAAAATTTTAATTGTGTTTATTAAATTTCTATTGGTTAAAATTTATGGAAAATAGTTAATGACAATGTATAATAAATTTATAATAACTAAACTATTTTACTAATATGTGAGAAAATTCTGAAACATGAATAATTTTAAAATTGGAGGGGTAAAAGAAAATGCACAGTAAATATAAAATAATATTTTTGAAACGCACTTTTATTTTAAAACAATTATCTTTTAGAAAGAAAAAAAAAAGAGAAATAAAGTATCTAGGTCTACTTAACATTCATAATTATGGAGGAAATGGTAAGTAACTAGGTCTCCCTGAATTGATAGGCTGCAATATGAAAGATATATTTGAGTATATTTTGGATGCAGTGAAACATCATACCAAAGGATGGTTTAACCTTGTTCTTAGTTGTCGGCTGCTCGGGTGAAGATCTGTTTTCTCGTAACTTCCATCAGTTGAAGCTTTTTTTTGAGTGGCGGTTGCTCAGGATCCTAATCGGATAACGTCTTGGAGCTCTTCTACCATCCCAATATATTCGATCATTATCACTTTCTCATTCCATCCAGCTTCCCTTTTCGACGTGCATCACCTTATTGTTTCTTGTTATAGCTCTTTAAGTTTCCGTTGATCTTGTTCCTTCCTAGCTCTTGTATTGTTAATTGGTTTTTAGATTAACACTTTGCTCCAGATAGTATTGTTTACTATACTGGCTCTGCTCCGAAAGAGAATTTTACCTTGCATGCTTTGTGTAATTCTTCTATATATTAATTGAGAAGTCATTTAAGGGATTTCGGCTTATGTACTGCTCATATGAGAGCTATCTCATTAATTGTTATAATATGATTGGTTGATGGTTTTATCATTTTTTTATTTATTTAATTAATTTTTTTAAAAGGAAACTAATCCTAGAATTACCTAATATAATCTCTATTTCCAAATATATAATTAAACATCTTAAATATAGATAACTTAACATAATTTTTATAGAAAAAATATCAAAGATTACATTATATAAATTGATAATATACATATAAATACATATGATACTACAAAAAAGTTATAAAATGGGTTTTAATATATTTATATTAATAGTGAATACAATAATTCATAGATTTCGGAAAACTAATTAATCTAAACCTTATAATATTAATTAAATTAACTCATTCACTATATATATATATATATATATATGTATATGTTAAGTAATGAAAAATATTTAAATATATATAATTTTAAAAAATTCAAATTATTTTTCAATGAAAATATGATATCATAGATGAGTTATCACTTGAGAAATTGCCTAAACTACCATTTTATTAGTATCCTTTTCATCTTTACATTAAGCAGATTTATTCTTTATTCTTGGTTATAAAGAGGTAAATAGACACTTATAACCATCACTACAAGAATATTGTCATATTGCAACAAAAAAATTAACTAATCTAGATTTATTAGGGTTTAGATTTCAGGGATGGGGTTTTGAAGGCTAAGATTTAACATTTAAATAAAAATAGAAAATATATACTTAAAACTAAAATTAAATATTTCAAAAATATTTTTAAAAATTATTTTCGAATTTTAAAAAGAATATCTGAAACAATAAAAATGAAAAATTTCGAAAACAAATTAAAAAAATGGTAAACTTTTGAATTTGAAAAGTTATAATTCGAATACTTAAATATATATAACTTATTTTTACTTATTTAAATATTTTTTTATATTTATAAAATCAAGGGTATAAATGTTTTTTGCCTCTTTAATGAAAGCTCATAATAAGGAATTTTAGAAAATGTCCATTTATAGAAGGTAACCAAAAATAATGATATCAAATGAAAGGTA